TATTATTATTATTTTTATTTTTTTTAAATTTTGTATTATTATTATCCTTATTATTGTTTTATAATTATCATTATTAATATTTTGTGTCATAATTATAAATTATTATTATTATCATTATTAAAGTCCTTATTATTTTTATCATTATTTTTAATTTTATTATGGTTACTGTATTTATTATTATTATTATTATTATTATTATTAATATCAATATTATTATTATTAATATCAGTATTATTATTATTATTTATTATTATTATTTATAAATATTATTATCAGTGCAAGAATCAGTGGCATGCTGTGTCAATGGTTCAAATCGCGATTTTCCTTTTCACGATGGGGTATAGAAGGGAGACAGTGATTGTGAAAACGCCTGAGCCGTCGGGGTATGACCTTGAGGAAACAACGTAGGAAAAATCCCGTTTTGCCAGTCACGGTCCTTGTATGGGAGATGTGTCCCTCTTTTGCCTCAGGTTCCCCCCCCCCCCCCTCCCCTGTTGATTTCACAGAAGAACTTTCTTTCAGTGTCTTGTCTTCTGTTTAGTCAAATGACTTTTTTTTGTCTCTCAAGTTGTTTTGTTTTTTAGATGATGATGATGATCACTTTATTCTTAAGGGAAATTGTTAGAGGTGATTTTTTGTTGGTTCTAGCTGGGTCTATGTGGCATAGCTGGGTATGTAGTTGTCTATATGCTGGGTATGTAGTTGTCTATATGGCATAGCTGGGTATGTAGTTGTCTATATGACATAGCTGGGTCTATATGACATAGCTGGGTATGTAGTTGTCTATATGACATAGCTGGGTCTATATGACATAACTGGGTATGTAGTTGTCTATATGACATAGCTGGGTCTATGTGACATAGCTGGGTATGTAGTTGTCTATATGACATAGCTGGGTCTATGTGACATACCTGGGTATGTAGTTGTTTATATGACATATCTGGGTATGTAGTTGTCTATATGACATAGCTGGGTATGTAGTTGTCTATATGGCATAGCTGGGTATGTAGTTGTCTATATGACATAGCTGGGTATGTAGTTGTCTATATGACATAGCTGGGTATGTAGTTGTCTATATGACATAGCTGGGTATGTAGTTGTCTATATGACATAGCTGGGTATGTAGTTGTCTATATGACATAGCTGGGTATGTAGTTGTCTATATGGCATAGCTGGGTATGTAGTTGTCTATATGACATAGCTGGGTATGTAGTTGTCTATATGACATAGCTGGGTATGTAGTTGTCTATATGACATAGCTGGGTATGTAGTTGTCTATATGACATAGCTGGGTCTATGTGACATAGCTGGGTATGTAGTTGTCTATATGACATAGCTGGGTCTATGTGACATAGCTGGGTATGTAGTTGTCTATATGACATATCTGGGTATGTAGTTGTCTATATGACATAGCTGGGTATGTAGTTGTCTATATGGCATAGCTGGGTATGTAGTTGTCTATATGACATAGCTGGGTAGTTTGACTCTCCCCAGGCTGATGGGAAGCCTTAGACAATATCACTTTATGAATGTGTAACGGTTTTCTTAACTTAAACGCTCTGACCATCTGGTCGCAGAAGACGCGAGTTTGATTCCTGAGTGGGGGAATTAGTTTTTTTTGAGTCGGTATCTCTCCGTCTTTCTGTTGGGATGTTGTTGTATAATGTATCCCACTCAGCTTGGGGTGACCTTGACGGTCAGGGTGGAAGCAGCCTGCCTCCCAAATGTTCGGTGTCGAGTGGTAGACGGTGGAAGTGGGGCGGGGTTGGGGTAGAAAACACTTACAATTTATTTTTTTTTTTCCTTCTTTTAAAAAAATTTCGCCTCCCCTTTCCATCGGAGGGTTTATCAGCGCCTGTGTGTGTGTATGTGTGTGTTGCAGGGGTATCTCTTAGCTTTAGGCAAAAAGAGAACGGAGGAAGTGAAGCGAGACGCGCGGATCGGCGAGGCGGAGGCCACGAAAGACTCTGGCATTATGGTAACGTACTCTCTAACACCCCCACCCCA